AAGATGACGAACGAGTGAACCAACCAGCTACCGTTCAAAGACCAGTGATTCCTTGGCCCACGACTGATAGAACGCCTGTGTCTGAGTTCACAACACCATATTTTTTCAGTATGGCATTCCCGTGTCTGTTTCCCACAGGATGTGGTGATTATAATGCAAATCGYCCAAGGACATGTTCCTCTCTTCATRACTGGGCAGAGCACTTGTTGTGGTACCAAGATGGAAGATTTGCTAAGAATAAAGTTTGGAAGTTTGTTGTGCACAACATGATCATGAGGAAAAGAGCCCTTGAACAAAGTCGTTACTTTGTTGATCAGCAGTTGGGAGAACCGCACATTACTGTAGCCGATCTGCAGGAGAGAATTGCTAGAGGAGACACTAGCATTGCAAACAAGTTGTTRTATTTTGGAGCAAGTCTGCGTGGCACTTCACAATACTGGCATCAAAGACGAAGAGAGCTACGGGCATTGATTGAGTTCATGGTAAATGAGAGGCTGGGGCTGCCATCATTTTTTATGACWGGAAGCTGTGCAGAGTTTTATTTCCCACCACTGAGAAGGCTTCTAGAAAAGTACATTCTTCAGACTACCGGAGAWSTTGTCAACTTGCTCGAGGACAATAACGCACGCTTTAAAGCTGTACAGGAGAACACACATGTTGTTGTATCTTACTTTGATGCACGCACACAGAGCTACCACGAGAAGATAGTGAGAGGAGTATTTGGYGTAAGCGACTACTGGTATCGCTACGAATTTGCCAAATCCCGAGGACAAATTCATTGGCACCAGCTAAGTTGGAGAGGTGACAGGGAACCACATGAGCTACTCAACAGTGCAAGAGAAGAAGAATGCAATGAGGATGAGTATGTTTCAAGGCTTAGTGATTGGGTTCAAGAGAAGTTTGCCATGTCAGCATCACATCCAGCTGGCCAAGATGAAGATGGAACTCCAAAGAAAGAGTTTTGGCCTCCRCCAGAAGGTACAGCCRATCCAATTACCAATAACCGAGATCCATTRGTGAAAATGTTAATGGATGTGTCTGCAACGCAGGATGCAATACTTGAGGATTACTTGCAGCTGATTAATAGGGTTGGACTACATTGCTGTTCTGACTACTGCTTGAGAACACCAAGACATCCTCAACCAGGACTTCAGCCAGCAGAGAGAGTTTGTCGGATGGAATTTGGCTCAGAATTCAACAGAGGAAAAGAACCTCGTGATTCACCGGCAATTGTAACAGATCGCAATGGTGCTTTGAGACTCGAGCTTCCACGTGACCATCCACGCGTGGTACAGCATTCCAGATATCAGTTGCAGTCATGGAGGGCAAATGGAGATGTCAGTCTAATTGTATCCAACTCTCATCCAGACAACCCTAGTGCAAATGAAATCATAGCTGTGACAGACTATGTGTGTGGGTATRCCTGCAAGGACAATGAGCCAACTGGTGCAACAATTGATCTGTTTAAAGACATGGTGAATACAACAGAAGCAGGTGATGAGACATC